TGCTTAACTGACTGAGCCATCCAGGCAGCCCTAACCATAAACCTTTGTAAGTTTGGAATATAAAAGGACCATCATTTAATTGCCTGAATATGATCAGATGATATATTTAAAAGCAGAAAGCAAAAGACTTAACCAAGAAAGCAACATAGACTGGACTAGTTTTACACAGTGGGACTGTCATCCTAACTAGGAAATAAGTGCATCACTCCGAAAGTGGTAAGCAGTGTCCTTAATAGACTTCTTTCTCAGTGGGTATCTGATCCAAGCTCCCTCTGAAAAGCCTAAAATAAAAAGACTGATCTTTGCTTCTTTTCTTTCTCCAAATCTCGTGATTTGGGATCAGAATCACAAGTTGGCAAACCTACAGTTTGTAGCATTCTGTTTCAAGCACAGACTCTGTTGAACTACAAATAGAATTAAGTGTTTTCATCACTGCTGGATTTCCACCTTTTCTGCAAGCTGTGGAGTCCACCTGCTGGGTAATCAGTCAATAGGTGCTAGCTTTCTTTCTGTATTCCTATGGTATTATGGCAGGTATTTCCACAAAGAAAAATGTAACTCTGAAGTAGGGTCCCTCAATTGTAGTTATGGTGGCTTTAAGTGCATGTAGCAAGACTTACTAAAGGAAAAAGATAAGAAACTCCACAGATTATTTAATAATTATAATGGAGTGATATGGTAGATGAGGCCTTAACCAAATGATCCAACTTTTCATCAATGATAGCAGGGCAAACTGACATGTGCCTCATGATACACTGCCATGGTTTCTGGTTATCCACTGCTAAAGTTAATGGCTTAAAATAGCAATTTAGGGGATCTTAAAATTATTTTTTTTAATTTTTAAAAATGTTTTATTTATTTCTGAGAGAGAGAGAGAGGCAGCGAGAGCAAGGGAGGGTCAGAGAGAGAGGGAGATACAGAATGTGAAGCAGGCTCCAGGTTCGGAGCTAGCTGTCAGCACAGAGCCCGACACCAGGCTCGAACCCACGAACCGTGAGATCATGACCTGAGCCGAAGTCGGACGCCCAACCAACTGAGCCACCCAGGTGCCCCTAGATCTTGTATTTAGTAGATGAAATGAAGAAGTACATATATCAGTATTCCTATGTATGATGCTTTACGCATTCAAAAACATTATTATGGGGTGCCTGGCTGGCTTGGTCCTTGGAACATGTGACTCTTGATCTCAGGGTCGTAAGTTCGAGCCCCACAATGGGTATAGAGATTACTTAAAAATAAAATCTTTTTTTAAAGCATTATTCTGAGAAGCCAGACTGAAAGAGCGCCTGGGTCAAAAATTTTTTTAGAGCCCTTGAACTGGATACTCTGGTTTTCAATGTTCACATTGGTATGTACACATGATCTCTATCTGTCCCTCTGGGAAAATAGCCCATAACTTAGATAAATATCTCTGTGACAAGGTGACACTGACATTTTCATCATTCCATATCTCACACCCAATGCAACCTAGTCCACAAGACAAAATGCCCAAGTCTTTAAACTCCACCTTCCATACAAACCCTTCTACTAAATTATTCTCTAACACTTTCACAGCAAGTGTAGGAAAACAGCAACACATACGGAACCAGAAACCCTATGTCTTACTTCTAGTTCTGCTTTCTGATCCTGGGAAAATCATTTAACTTCTCTAAACTTCATCTATAAACACATTAAGATCATCTGCCTCCCAGCCTCCTACCCTGCTCTGGTGGCTGCTGTCGGGGCTATGCAGAATGCCCTTGGCTTTTATTAAAGGTATTTATATTTGTAAAATAAATAAATAAATAAATAGGGTCACCTGAATGGCTCAGTTGGTTGAGTGTCTAAGTCTTGTTTTCGGCTCAGGTGGTGATCCCAGGGCAGTAGGATTGAGCCCCATGCCAGGCTCTGCACTGAGCATGAAGTCTGCTTGAGATTCTCTCTCTCTCTCTCTCTCCCTCTGTCTTTCTCTCAAATTCTGCCCCTCTCCCCTGTGCTCTCTCTCGTAAATAAATAAATAATAAACACATTAAGATAATTTATAAAATCTAGAAGTTCATTTTCCAGTTGTAAAATTCTTTACTTCTGCAATTGTATATTTTTTTGCAAGGTGTGTTTTTTGGGATTGAGTTCTTAGTACTCTAAAGTTTACTTGTTTACTTATTTATTTATTTAGAGGGAGAGACAGAATGAGCACATGGTTGGGGGGGTGCAGAGAGAGAAGAAGAGAAGAGAGAATTGCAAGCAGGCTCTGCACTGTCAGTGAGGAGTCCAATGTGGGGCTCAAACTCACGAACCATGGGATCATGACCTGAGCCAAAATCAAGAGTCAGACACAATCTACCGAGCCACCCCCACGCACCTCCCCGTTTTTAGTTAATTTATTTATTTAGAGAGAGTTCTTAGTATCCTATCTTTAATTAATTGATTAACTTATCAATTATTGAGATGGGAATAACTAAGCAACTAATCCAGAGGATCCTGGAAAAGTTTTCCAATGAGTCATATTTAAGCTGAGTTTTGAAGGCTGAGTATGAGTCCATTAAGTAAGGACAGGACAAGAACACTCCAGGCAGAGAGGACACTGATAAGGCCCGTGTGCTCAGACCCAGCATATTAAGGGGCTCGATGGGGTTCAAAAGGGGACCAGATCGGTACTGAGTCTGGGCTCCTTGGCTTATAGAAAATGGTAAAAAGTGTACAAACAGTTTGAAGTGACATGGCCAAATTTGTGTTTTGGATAAACAGCCCTAAGAGCAAAGTGAAGCATGGGGAAAATTGAAATCAAAAAGACCAGTTAGAAGGGCACCCGGGTGGCTCAGTTGGTTAAGTGTCGCATTCTTGATTTCGGCTCAGGTCATGATCCTGGGGTTGTGAGATCAAGCCCCTCATCAGGCTCCATGCTGAGCGTGGAGCCTGTTTAAGATTCTCTCTCTCTCTCTCTCTCTCTCTCTATCTCTCTCTCTCTCCCCTCCTCTGCCCCTCTCCCCTACTCATGCTCTCTCTCTCTGTCTCAAATTAAAAAACAAACAAATAAAAAAAAACTTGAAAAAACAAGATCAGTTAGGAAGGAGGATATTGCAACATTTGAAGTAAGAGATAATGGATCCCAAATCAAAACACTGGCAATGAGAATAGAAAACTGAATAAAAGAATGGAAGTAGATCATCTCTGTAATAAACTGTGTGTGTGATGATGAAGGAGGAATCAAGGGTGACCCTAGTTTCTAGTGAGGACAACTGAGTGCAGGGTGGTATTGAAGGGAGCAATTATTAACCTGAATAGGTTTGCAATGTTGAGTCTGAGAAGGCTATTTGACCTCCAGAGAAATTCTGGCCAACCCTTGGAAATAAGGGCCTGGAATTGTGGAGAAAGACATCCCTGGAGATATAGAATTATAAAAATCACATGAGGTAGCTGAAGCCATTTAATCAGCTTCGCCACCACCACCAATAGTGCCACCACCTGGTGGTCCCTCTGTGCTTCACCTCACCAATCCTCTTGAATCCTGACTCCTCTAAGCTTGCTATTAAGGCTCACAACAACCACTTCCTCCGCACTCTCCCCTTTCCCACTAAGCTTTGGTACTCGATAACACACCTCTGTGTTAGTTAGGACACAGGCATGTTGCTGTAGCAACGGAACCCCAAAGTACAATAGCTGATAGATTGCAGGAGTTTCTTCTTTCTTACATAACAGTTCAGGGCCTGCAGGGCATCTCTGTTCCATGAGGATATATAGGAACCAGAATGATAGTGAGCTCTGCCATTCTCGGCATCCCTCTTAGGACCCAAGGGATTATTCCAGTCATTGTCATTTCCCAATTGGTGTGGGAAAAATCTGGGCAAGAAGCTTCACCTTTTTGTTTATTTATTTTTTTATGTTTTAAGTAATCTCTACTCCTAACATGGGGCTTGAACTCATAGCCCTCAGTGTCACATGTTCTAACAGCTGAACTAGCCAGGCACCCCAACAAAGCTTCATCTGTTTATTTTTTAAAAAGTTTTTAAATTTATTTTTGAGAGAGAGAGAGAGACAGACAGAGCATGAGCAGAGGAAGGTCAGAAAGAGAGTGAGACACATATTCCAAAGATAGGCTCCAAGCTCTGAGCTAGCTGTCAGCACAGAGCCCCATGCTGGGCTTGAACCCACAAACCGTAAGATCATGACCTGAGCTGAAGTCAGACGCTTAACCGACTGAGCTATCCAGGTGCCCCAAGCTTCATCTTTTTTTAATTTTTTTAATTTATTTATTCTTTTTTGTATTTTTTATTTATTTCTAGGAGAGAGAGAGAGAGAGACAGCGTGAGCAGGGGAGGGTCAGAGAGAGAGGTAGATACATACTGTGAAATAGGCTCTAGGCTCTGAGCTGGCAGTCAGCACAGAGCCCGACGCGGGGCTCGAACCCACGAACCGCGAGATCATGACCTAAGCGAAAGTCGGACGCTTAACTGACTAAGCCACCCAGGTGCCCCGATCTTTTTTTTTTTTTTTTTTAAATGTTCATTTATTTATTTATTTTGGGGGAGTGAGAGAGTGCACACACATGTGGGAAAGGCAGAAGAGAGAATCCCAAGCAACCTCCACACTCAGCTCAGAGCCCGACTGGGGATTGGATCTCATGACCGCAGATTTTGACCACAAGATCATGACCTGAGCAGATATCAAGAGTTGAGCTTCACCGACTGAGCCACCCAGGCACCCCAAAGCTTCATCTTTAATAAATATAAACACACATTGGGGTGCCTGGGTGGCTCAGTTGGTTAAGCATTCGACTTCGGCTTAGGTTATCATCTCACAGGTCATGGGTTCAAGCCCTATGTCGGGCTCTGTGCTGACAGCTCAAAGCCTGGCACCTGTTTCAGATTCTGTGTCTTCCTCTCTCTATACCTCTCCACTGCTCATGCTCTGTCTCACTTTCTCTCAAAAATAAATAAACATTTTAAAAAATTAAAAAAAAAGAAACACATCACTTCTGTTACACCTCTTTGATCCAAACTCAGTCAAGTCACCACACCTACCTTCAAGGGAGACTGGGAAATGTAATATCTTGCTGGGCAGCCATTTGATGAGCTCACACTCAGAGGGGTTCTGTTACTAAAATACAGAAAGAGAAAATGGACACAGGGAAGAATTAGCAAACTTTGACATTTCTAAAGCCCTGGACTTCTTTTTTTTTTTTTTTTTAATTTATTTCTGAGAGACAGACACAGCGTGAGCAGGGGAGGGTCAGAGAGAGAGGGAGATACAGAATGTGAAACAGGCTCCAGGCTCTGAGGCGGCCGTCAGCACAGAGCCCGACGCGGGGCTCGAACCCACGAACCGTGAGATCATGACCTGAGCCGAAGTCGGATGCTTAACCGACTGAGGCACTCAGGCGCCCCTAAAGCCCTGGACTTCTAATTAAATATCCATACGTACTTTTATTTACACACACAGAATACATTAATCTCTTCCCTCAGGAGACAACCCAAAGGGCATTCCATGGGCACCTGGATGCTTTTCTGGTCTTGTGTTCCATTTTCTTTCCTTCCTTGCCTTCTTTTGGATTGACGGTTTGTTTTCTTAAATTTTTTAAACGTTTATTTTTGAGAGAAAGAGAGAGAGAGAGAATGAGAGAGCGAGTGCATGAGTGGGTCATAAGATCATGACCTAAGCCAAAGTAAGACACTTAACCGATTGAGCCACCCAGGCACCCATGGATTGATAATTTTTATCATTCAATTTTAAAGTCTCTTTTAGTTTAGATATCCTCTACTTCTATTCTTTTGCTGTTATCCTAGTTACAGCAGGTACCGTTCACTTATAAATATCTAATGCTAAGTGATATCTTTCCTCCCCTCTAAATGTGAGAAATTTAGAATGTTTAACCCTCTCCTAAACTTTTATGCTTTTATTGCCGTGCATTTTAAATACCTATCTATTTCTACAGGACATCATAGTAACAGTTTCATAGTCAATATTCATTTAAAGTTACCCACCGTGTGATGGGGCGCCTGGGTGGCTTAGTCGGTTAAGCGTCCGACTTTCGCTTAGGTCATGATCTTGCGGTTCATGGGTTCGAGCCCCGCGTCGGGCTCTGTGCTGACTGCCAGCTCGGAGCCTGGAGCCTGTTTCGGAGTCTGTGTCTCCCTCTCTCTCTGACCCTCCCCTGCTCACGCTGTCTCTCTCTCTCTCTCTCTCTCTCTCTCCTAGAAATAAATAAATAAATAAATAAAGTTACCCACTGTGTGAAGTCCCTTTGAATTTATTTTGCTGTTCATTTTTCCTAGTGGTTCTTTCTCAATGAGAAAAGAATAGGAGTTATTTATCTCCTATTAAGCTTATTTTTGATTGTGTGCTAGAAAAAATCATTTTTAGAAAAAAATGATGCCCAGTTTGATGTTTCTTCTAGAGAGGATGGTCATTTGCTTTTTCCAGGATCATTTTAGTTCAAGATTTTAGATTTTCTAAGCAAGCCACTTCCAGCTCAGCCTTAGTCATAGGGGACGGTGTGCATGTGGAATGGCCTGATCTGACTTTTGTCTCCTTAATCCCATAAGGTTGCCTAACAGACAGCTCACTCTCTCAATTGTCTCTTCAGGATCAGCTAATGACCCTAAGGTAGACATGTTCGAAAATGGCCAGGCTCACTCCTCTGCATTTCCATTTTCTTCCAGATTTCATCCTAGTAATTTGTCAATAATTTGTCAGCTTTTTTGATGCTTCTAAAAAAAGATTTTTAGTAAATTATGTTCAGCAGAAGGGTGATCTGAATTAGCTAGTGTGCCATTACTGAAATTGGAAGTGTCACTTCTTCAGAGTTCCTAGAACAACATTTCTTAAGATGGGGGTCCATGGACCATGCGCATCAAAATCACATTAAGCTTCTTAAAAACTGGGATTACAGGGCTGCCTGCTGTCTCAGACTTCATTCAGAGCCCATGGCACGAAAACCCAGAAGTCGGTCCTTTTGTGTTGTTCACAGACTCTATTTATTAAGACTTTAAGTTTGAGAAATCTTGCCCCCAAAACTGAGCACAACACTCTTACTAATAGGCATTCAAGGAATTTGACTTGATTTTTGTTTAAAGGTCATGTAGATAAGAAGAAAGCTGAATACATGCCCCACTCAGAATTTGGTTAATGTTACGTCTCTTATCTCCTTACCATTTGAAAAATCCTCAAGAGAAGATGACCCAAAGGAGGAACTCTCAATAACCAAAACCCTATCTAGAGTCAAAGTCTTGTCTCAGTAGTAGCATTTTGATCAGTCATGGATGGCAGTTACTTCAATGTGCTTGTTAGTCACTAATGAAAGGTTTGAGAAAGAACTTAAAGATATCTTGATCCCCAAATCTACTAGACTGAAAAAACAACAACAACAACAAAAAAAAACCCAAAAACCAACCTGGGTTTTTTAGGCTAGTTTATAATTGGATATAAATTATAAATATTAAGATATCTCCTCCAATATTATTATTTGGCTAAGAAGTTAACGCCATGTTGGTCCTCAACATTAATTTGAAATTTTACTGGTCCAAAAAAATCTGTAGATCTTGAAATCACTGACTTTTGCTTCTCAAGCCACTCCAGTTTCCAGTATTCAAAAAATCCTCTGGTCTGCCTGTTAATGTTTTTGCAAAGAGCAGGCAAATCTGCATTCCACACTGTCAGGAACATGATTAATTATCTATTTGGATTAGCCAACAAAATCTATGTTCCTGTGTTTCTGTGACACACTTACTTGAATTTCTTAGCTTTTGTCATTCTTCTGAGTTACAATGCCTTTTGAAACATTAGTCTTTGCTTTCTTGCAGGACAAAAAGGAACAAAACTTAAAAAAAATAACCAAACCAACTAAACAAACAAAACCCACTGCCAAGCAGTTGCTGACGGACATTTAAAGATTTCTCATTGCTGCACCAAACTGTGGTCTTAGATTTCTTCAACTTTTAAAGGAAAAGCTTTGAATGAATTCTTGTGTTTTCCACAGTTAATATGGAAACGTCCTCATGTTACACACACCATAGACATCAATAGAAAGTTTCAGAAAATTTGAGCTTTTTAATCAGATGATCTTGTGCTCTACTCAGATAATGAAATTCCACAGGGAAACTGCTACTCAGGATAGGCTTTGTTCTTTTATAATATTCATTTTCTTTCATTGCTCTGTAACCAAGAGGCTACTTCAGTAACCATCTGAAGAGGGAGGATAGTATTACAAAAGCTGTTATGAAATTTTTAAAAACCAGTTCTGTTTTGGAAACCACTATCAGTTGGAGAGTGGTTTCTATGTGAACTGTGCTACATTCCTTAAAGGTAATCCAACTGTGAATACGCCTTATTGATGAAATCATGTTTGTCACTCCAGTAACCTAATAGGATAGCATACGTTATGTGGGCTGTGGTAAACTATATAACCTATCATTTAAAAATCATCACATGCCCTTATGGTTTCATTTAACCTGATTAATCTGCTTTGGTAATGGAATCACTTATGCCTAATTAGATACATCTAGATTATGATGCTAAGGAAAGGGTAATTTGTGAGTAATAAGATATCTCTAAAATCTGTACGTTGGGGGCAACATCACCATTTTAGGTTTTTAAAGGTACCTATTCACGTCTCTAAGGCTGAAAACTGGCCTTGCTTTAGGCAGCATGTTTTCTTTCTAGTAGGCTCTTTATAAATCCATTCATGGCTCTTTATTGCATCAGCTTCCACCATACTGGGTTTGTATCTGTTAAAGGTGGGTGGGGTATATGCAACATTTGATAATGTTAAGAAAAATTACCCAACACTTGGAACCAAAGCGAAAGTATGATTGCTTGTCCTTTGAATGTTGGACTAGAGCTTTATTTCAAGGTCTTTATCTAACAGGCCCACCCAAGGATTATTTAGTTCTTCAGAGGAATGCACTGCTCCTTGATTAAATCTCAGATATGTGAACTTGCAGATTTTTGTCCAAGAGAGATGCAAAAGATTGCCGGGCAGGTTCTGGTTGTACGGTCCTATTTTGCTTCTAATTTAGCAACCTTATTTCAGCACGCTTTTCCTTTTTGAACATATAAATCTCTGTCTAATTCTCCTTTGTCCCAGATTTATCATCCTCCTTCTTTCCTCATTAACGTATTCATCCTATATTTTCATTACGGTCATGTTTTTCAAAGTTACACTTTTTCTCTATAAAAAAAAAGAGATGAATCTCACAAGACGCTCAAGAAAATGAATCTTCTTTCTTTAGTTTATGCAACTTCACCTCTCTGGGGAACATATTTTATAGGAATTAAGCCAATGCATTTTTATTCCCCCCTTTAAATCCTATTTCTTGTTAGTCTTCTGATAAGAGTCATCAGGCTCCCTATCCCAAGAAAGAAAGGACAGATAGGTGCTGCTCATAACAGAGAGACCATTTATCAGCTTTTAATTTCTAAGCTGATTTTCTTCACCTCTTTTTAGTAAGACAATGTACATAAAATCCAGGCTTTATGGAGAAAGGTATTTCCAAATGACAAAGCTTCCTGTTTAAAAATAGGGCCTGTGGATAGAATGGAAGGGAGACCCTCCAGGCTGTAAAGAATGAAGGGAAAAGCAATTCTGGATCGGTTATAGGGAAAAAGGGGGGTGGAGTCTGGGAGAGAGGTCACAAGACACAAGGTCCTGATGCCCTCCCAGGTTAAAGTACTAGGGCAGAAAGCAGGTTAGCTAGGTTGCTGGGAAAGCAGAAGACAGAAGTGGGGGGGGGAGGGGGCGGAGTCTGGATTGTGCTTTTCTTTGGGAGGATTAACATCTGCCCTTTGCCACTGTGAGATCATGAAAGCCACACCTCTCCCTCTCAGGGAGGGGTAGAAATCTTACAGATTGAGCTCTTAACAGAGTTATCCAAGTAGAGACTGTTCACCTACAAAAACATTTTAAATTATAGTATTGAACTGAGGTTAACAAATTGGACTTGGGGGTGCCTGGGTGGCTCAGTTAGTTAAGCTTCTGACCTCGGCTCAGGTCATGGGCCGTTCATGTGAGTTCGAGCCCTGCATAGGGATCTATGCTAACAACTCAGAGCCTGGAGCCTGCTTCAGATTCTGTGTCTCCTTCTCTTTCTAGCCCTCCTCTG